GACAAGCAACTGAATTAATCATAGGTGATAATTACAGAGGAGATAATAACATTGTCCAAGTTGAGTTTACATGTTCTCTGCAGAATAGGCAAAAACTCTGCAGAATAGGCACACACAAAAAACAGAATAGGCAAAAGCTTGACTGTTTAGTGGGAAGACTAGGCACAGGGTTTTTTGGATGACAATAAGCCACAAAAAGGCACCATAAAAAAAGATGGAAATCAGGACAAACTTTGGACTGAAGTCTCTCTCTGTGTATGTAAAGTGCTCTTAAGTAACTGACTTATGGCAACTCCTTAGGGTTGCACAGGTGGTTTGCCATTGCCTGCCTCTACATAGCATCCTTGATTTCCCCTGGTGATCTCCCATCTAAGTACTAACCTGGGCCATCTCAGTCAGGGAGGGATCAAAGTACTTTTGGACAAATTGTGAGTTTTTGATGCCTTCACAAATGTTCAAAACCCTTCTGCTATGTCAATTAACATATTAAGTCTCATTCTTGTTTGGCAAAGCTTATTTGGCAAATATGGCTCATATTAACATTTCTTTGCTACTATGCTGAAATGTGTAGACTCAGATTAGCAAGATCTGTAGGAATGCACACAGATATTTATTTAGTTTAGGATGTGATTTATGTCCTTGATTTGTCTGTTGAATTTTGCTTGTAGCCCTGAATATCATAACCGTTTTTGAATTAGCTTACCCAATCAGTAGCTGATTCCTTTCTTTTTGATGTAAGATGCAGTTCTGTGTACAATGTGTTCCCTGTCCTGCTTTGGGATGAATCTCCAGGACACTTTGGGGTTAAGCAGGAATTTTCTGCATTATTCTGTTATTGGCTGGGAGAAGTTACTTTTTTCTCACCTGCTTCATGCTGCTTGGCATTTTTCAGTGCCAAAGACTTTCATTAATTGTAATATCCACTAATTGTTTACATGCTTCTGCAGCAGATCTAAATTCTGCTTCTGTGTTTGATGCAGGGACAGTCCCTTGTTTTCTGCTAGTCCAGCTGATTGCTCCATTTCCATAAAATAATAGGTATCTGCTGGTTGACTTCCTGTCTGTGATATCTTCTGCCCAATTTGCATCCATGTATCCTACCAGTTTGGGTCTGTCATCTACTGATAACTTCAATTTTAGATTGTACCACAGAGATACCTGGAAAGTCTGTTCACTTCATTCTAGTCTATTTTACTTGGTGATTTCTACCTTTCTGCATAGTAGAAGAACAAGAAGAGAAGAGATTGGATTTATACCCCGCCCTTCACTACCCAAAGGTGTCTCAGAGTGGCTTACAAACTCCTTTCCCTTCCCGTCCCCACAACAGACACCCTGTGAGGTAGGTGGGGCTGAGAGAACTCTTAACAGAAACTGCTCTTTTTCAAGAACAGCTGTGCCAGAGTTATGGCTTGCCCAAGGTCATACAGCCAGGTGCAAGTGGAGGAGTGGGGAATCAAACCCGGTTCTCCCAGATTAGAGTCTGCGCACTTAACCACTACACCAAACTGGCACAATCAGATGCCGGGGGGGGGCACAGAACGGAGAGCAAGGCTGCCGGCTGCACATGTGTGCTTATGCGCAGTTTGGCTGGGAGCCTTGAATGCTGCGGAAGACAGGCGCACCGGCGATCCCATGGCCGCCCTTGCTGCGGATCTTCAGGTAGGTAGTACTTTTTTCTAGGGTTTTTTTTAATGTGCGGTTTTGCCCGGAAAGGACGGATTGGGGATGGGTGCACTCTGCTTCCCAGATGTTGCGGTGTGATCGCGCCTGTTTGATGCGCCCCGATCCATCCCTCTTGTGGGGCAAAACCTTCCGTTTGACCAGGGCCGATGTCATCCATTTCTTTTATTTCTACTTCTTCAATTAGATGTTTAACTATTTCACTATAGACTTTCTCATCCTTACAGCAAACAATCAAGTCATCCACGTAGGTAAGGATGTAAGTACACCTGCTGTTTCTTCAGCTTAAATATAGACATTGCTCTGCTTTTCCTTGTTCAAATCCTTCTTTTGTCAGCATCTGAGGGTTTTTTCATTCCAGCTTGTTTGAGCCCATATATGGTCTGCTATAGTTTGCATACTAGTTCTCTGTCTGTGGACTGTTCAAATACTGGTGGTTGTTCCATATAAACATTTTCTTTTATTTCCCCATTTAGGAAGGCTGTTTTTACATTCATTTTCTTTGTTGCTGCTATAATTAATAGCATCCTTATTGAAGTGTGTCCTACTACAGGCGCAAATGTCTCATCATAATCCTTACCATATTCCTGAGCATACCCTTTGGCAACTAATCTCACTTTGCAACTTTGTACTTCTCCTTCAGCATCATATTTGGTCTTGAAGACCCATTTGCATCCTACTGCCTTCTTTCCCAGAGGTAGATTTGTGAGTGTCCAAGTGACTGTGTTGATTACTTCTCCCTGGTATTTCACTGGTAGATCCACTTCTAGTAACATGCATCTGCACATTTCTGTCAGGGAGCAGTTTTTCCTCTCAGCTATGCTATTTTGTTCTGGTGTGTATGGGATAGTGAGCTGATGTTCAATACTTTGTTCAGTTAAATACCTTCTATATCATGTCCCACGTATTCTCCTCCATTTTCAGTTTGGATTGCCAGCAGTTCCTCTGGAACCGGCTGCTAATCATTGTAATATATGCCTTGAGTTTTTAAAATACTTCACTCTTTTCCCTGATAAAGTAAGGAACTGTGTATTTAGAGAAATCATCAATGTAAGTCAAAATATATCTGTTCCCACTAGGTACTTACTTGGGATAACCAGGTGAGGAAAGGTCAGGCAAGGTAGGGACTTGGTTAGTGTTACTGCCTTTTCTGATCAGTTTTGGTTAGTGTTACCTTTTAGGATGTTTTTCTAGACAAGCCACTGGTCAGTATCTGACAAGTCACATTCCATGTGACTGTAGGACCTATTTTGATCCTATTTGCAGACCAGGGAAGAGTTAGTGACCCTGTGAGATTCTGAGAAAGAAGGTTGCCTTTGTCACCTTTTTTTCTAGGTACCACGCTCATCTTTCTGAGGGAGGAGTGGTCTAGGCATAACACTAGGTACCCCATATTCTGAGATTACACCCGTTGCAACCTGGGAGAGGGCCTTGTCATCATGGTACCAAAACTCTGGAACTCCTTCCTCATGGAGGTTAATCTGCCCCTTTCTGTTGCCATCTTTCACCAGAAAGTGAAAACTTTTTTTAAAAAAAAATGTGTCCTTCCTTCAGTAAGACTTCCTTCCTGACCAAATCTTAGTTGCTGGTTTTTAATGTCTTTGTATGATTTTTAATGTTTTTAATTTCTAATGATGTGTGTTTTTGTGGGGGGGTTGGTTTTAAAATGTGATTTTATTATGTGTGTTTAAATTTGTTAGCCACCTGGGTGGCTGTTGTGAGGGCATAAAGACAGGATATAAATTTTGTTAAATAAATTTAAAAAATGAATAAACCCACTCTATTTAAATTGAAGTTAATAAAGTGCAGTTCAGTAACAGATAATGGACAAATGTTAGCTTAATGCATATAAGGTTGGCTAGCATCTTCAGTGATGTTGTATGGTAGGAATATATTTATTTATTTATTTAAGTTATGCAGTTTTTCACTTTGCTTAAATGCAAGTTGCTTTGAAGGTATTGTGGCGATGAGGGGTTTTAATCAAATAAATAGGAATGACTTAAAGTACCAGTCTTTTGAATGAAAACAATTTTACTATAAAAAAAAAACACTTCATTGTGTCTTCATACAAAAGTATCACACCTTATTTTCCCTTCAGCTGTTCAGTGATATGGTTTTTGAAAATGTTTATTTCATGGTCCAACAACTTCATTAAACAAGACAAAACCTCTTTACAAAATGCATGCTTTGCCCTTTTGCTCTCATCAGAGAAACCAAGGCAGAAGATTTCTGTATGTCGCTGGGTGTTTGGCCAAGATGATTTTCATAATAATGTCTTGTATTCTTGAGCCACATGCACAGTCTGGCTAGCCTATATTTACACTGGAACATAAATTTAATGTAGGTCACCTTCATTGCCCCACATGTAAATTTGGTAGTAAAGCATGCATAGATATCACTTATAAAAAGTATTTGGATATGTCACAAAGTCTGCAATTCCTTGCTTATCATCTCTTCCAACCATTGTTTTCCTGTCCTTCACTTTATCCTCACAACAACAACATTGTGAAGTAAGTAAGAGTGAAATGATATGACTGTTTCAAATCCACCCAACCTACTTCCATGGCTGAGGTGGGATTCCATCATGGGTCTCCTATATCCTTGCCAGATTCTCGTAGGACTACCCCACATAGGCTCGGATAGATCAGAGAGGTTCTTAAACACCCTTTGTATTGTAAAGGAAGGAATGTGTTCCATCCTCTCTATCTGTGCTGTGCTGTTTGTGCTGCCTGCACTTTCCTGGCTTCTCATGAGTAAACCTTTGCTTCCATTGCAAATAGAAGGATAGGTAAAGGTATAGGTTCCCTTGCCTGAAAGCCAGTCGAATCCGACTCTAGGGTTGCGGTGCTCATCTCTGTTTCAAAGCCGAAGAGCCAGCGCTGTCCGAAGACGTTTCCGTGGTCATGTGGCCAGCATGACTAAACCCCGAGGTGCACGGAACGCTGTTACCTTCCCACCGAAGTGGTACCTATTTATCTACTTGCAATTTCTTGCTTTCGAACTGCTAGGTTGGCAGGAGCTGGAACTGGAGATGGGAGCTCACTCCATCATGCGGCACACTCGGGTCTCGAACTGCTGACCTACTGACCTTCCACAGCCTGCAGTTCAGCGTCTTAACCACTTGAGCCACCGCAGCTCCTAGAAGAAGGATATTGTGTAGCTAATCTGTGCCAGGATCATCCAATTCCCTTCATTTTTGGCACTGCATTTCCTGCTATCATCCTGAAGCTGCTCACCAGTTTTGAAGTAAACTCTTTGAACAATTCCACTATAAACATTCAAGTACAATTTATATGAGAAAACACAGACATTTAAATTCTTTATATTTTTCTCCTAATCAAGTGTTCTCTCTTGTTCATCTCAGGCTTCAGCAAAATCATATAGCATTTGGGAAAGAAGATGCAAGCCAGCAAGCCACCTGCAGATGCTGAGATGGAGAAGATCTCAACAGCTACTGTGGATTTTCCTTTGGTGCCAAGGTAGGTTGGAACAAAGGACATCCAAACACTGCAGAAGACCAGCATGCTGAATGTGATAAACTTGGCTTCATTGAAATTGTCAGGTAACTTCCTGGCAAGGAAAGCTATCATGAAACTGACCATGGCCAGGAAGCCCATATAGCCCAGGACACAGTAAAACATGGTAGTTGATGCTTCATTACATTCTAGTATCATTTCTTCATTCTTTGAGTGCATGTCAATATCTGGAAATGGAGGAGAGGTTGCCAGCCACACAGCACAAATGCCTGCTTGGATAAGGGAGCAGGAAAGAACGAGAGAGTTGGCCAACCTCTTCCCCACCCATTTCTTTATTCTGCTTCCTGGCCTGGTAGCTAAAAAAGCCAAAACCACTGTGATAGTTTTGGCCAACACACAAGAAATGGCCCCTGAGAAGAGGATGCCAAAAACAGTTTGTCGGAGGAGACAAGTCTCCTTCCCAGGTTGACCAATAAATAGTAATGCAGAAAGAAAACAAAGCAGGAGAAATATCAGAAGAGCATAGGTGATGTTCTGGTTGTTGGCTTTGACTATGGGTGTGTCACAATGTTCCACAAAGGTTGCTAGAACAGATACTGTGACCAAAGAAAAAGAAAGACTGATGATGACTAAGGAGATGCCTAAAGGTTCTTCATAGGACAGGAAGGTTATGACCTTGGGAATGCACTGAGTTTGATTTGCACTGGAATAGAATTCCAGACTGCATGTGACACAGTCATCCATATCTGTAAAGCAGAGAAGAGACACAGTTTCAGTTGATTCTCACATTCCATAACAATTACTACATCTAGCAATGTGACAATATCTGTCACATTGCAAACAGTGAGTTTAGGCTGGAGTCAATCAGTTTAGGATTGGATTATAAGACATGAAACAGTCATATGAGATTAAAGATTAAAGAGATTAAAAGAAAAGGCCTGGAAGGTGGGGGGAAATAATCATGGGACCATTGTTTTCTGTGATGCACTACTGGAAGACTTTTTGAGGTTTTTTATTTTAAAAAATCAATAACTTGGTTGCCGTAGCACAATACAGTATACTGATTTTAAAAAAACAACAACAAGCAAACCAAAAAGCCCTTTAGTGATACAATGAGGCAGCAGTTCAGAGAAATGGTAGCTGATGGACTGAACTGCAAAGAAAAATGTCATGTGAATGCTCTTACACCAATGTGCATTCATTTTCATTCACAGCTCCAATAAATGCAAAACTGAGAATTCTTGCTGTGCAGATGCAAGAAAATATCTTAACTGAGGAGCATAATGGAATTTCCAGATAGTATCTATCAACATAGCAATGCATTGGCTCTCATGTTGGTATAGTTTTCTTTTGATTAAAGTAAATTTACCAATTTACCAATTTACCAATAGTAAATTGGTTGGTTTACATGTGAATGAAACTAACCCACTTGCATACTGAGTAGGGATTTCTACGTAACTGGGTATCCTTCATGAATACAGAAAAACGTTAAGTATGTAAATTAATCGAAAGGAAAATAGGGAAAAACCAACTTCAAAATATGCCTTGATGAGACGTGAAAATATTTGAAAAGCATGTGCTAAAGCAGCTGAGAGGACTTTGTGTGTGTGTGTGTTTGGAGAGTGAAATTGTTCCACCGGAAACAGAAATGAATTTGAAATATATGAAAACCAGTCTAAATGTGATGTAAATATGATTTACTTTCATTAATTTAAGGCCTCCAAAGAACTCAGATAATATAATTCACCCTCACAAATCCATCATTCTGAGGATTCTGCTGATTGGCTACTAATATGCTGTAAAATCCCTGCTTGAACAAACCAAAGGTCCTTCTAATACAGCATACAAGTGTTTCCAGGAAGTCCACAAGAAGGGCATGAAGGCAACAGCCCCCCAGCTGTATGCCCCTAGCAGCAGGCATTGAGAAGCATCCTGCCATAGAACATGGAGGCTTACTTGGACATCCTGTCCCATAGTCTAATAAATATAGACCTATCATATACCCAGTCCCTTTTCCTTCCTTTTTTTAGATTTAACAGCCATAATCTATTCATATACAGTTTTTAAAAAGAAAAAAAGTGAGGAAAAGTGACAGAAGAGTCAGTTCCCTCTTGACACAGGCATTTAGATCCTTTATGTTTTTCTCCTAATGAAGTGTTCTCTCTGGTTCAGCTCAGGCTTCAGCAACATCATATAGCATTTGGGAAAGAAGATGCAAGCCAGCAAGCCACCTGCAGATGCTAAGACGGAGAAGATCTCGAGTGAGGAAAAGTGAGGGGAAAGTCTGTTCCCCCTTGACAGTATAAAGAGAAAAACTGCCACATCTCTCACGCAGTTCACCATCTACTTAACATAAGAACATAACCCAGAGTCCCTATCTATACCTTGTGGCTAATAGCCACCGATGGACCTCTGCTCCATATGCTTATCTAGTTCCCTTTTGAAGCCGTCCATGCTTGTAGCACCCACCACTTCCTGTGGCAGTGAATTTACTTGACAGTAAATAGAGCAGTGCCCGCTTCTGAGGAAGTGTTGTTGGCTGTTTTATCCAAGGAGTAATGAATCCCTATATGTACACCTGGTTTAAAGAGATGAATTCCCTTTCCCCAGGGTTTCCTGGAGAAAGGGATTGGTATTAAATCAGTCTTAATGTGCAGTATAGATAATACCCTTCGTTCCCAGGAATACTGAAATTATTCCCCCCCCCTCAATCCTGTCTGTGTTTTATATTGTGGAAGAAGAAAAAAATAGATTCATTATCCCACTCTCTTCTTTTTGGCTCTGAAGCCCAAGTTTACACTTCAGCATCCAACCCTCATATTTTCAGCTGCCAACCTCTAGGTGGTGCCAGACCACAGAGATAGGTTCATCTGTAAAAAATATGGCTGCTTTGGAGGGTGGAGTCTATGGCATTATAACCCGCATTATAACCCACATCCCACCCTCCCTAGACTCCAACCCCAAAATCTTGGACAGGCTGGAGTTGGCAACAGTTTGCACATTGGAAATAACATAAATATTTAGTCAGCTCATCAGATTAATGAAAAATCCTCTGTAAATACATTGTTTTCTCCCAGACTCTATTTCGAATGAAGCAAAGGTAGTTTTGCCAACATCCAGATCGGGCCTGGGGATCTCCTTACTCATCTCCAAACAACAGAGATCAGATCCCCTGGATAAAAAAGGCAGTTCTGGAGGGTGGACTTTATGGTATTATACCCCACTGAAGTCCTTCTCTCCTCGAACTTCCCACTCCCCACAGGAAAGTCATTGGCCGTGGCAATTGTTGGCTGCCTCCTGCAGACCAACCAATAACAATTAAGAGATTTAAGCAACTTTGCACTTACACCAGGCTCTGCTGTCTCATATCCAGAGATTAGTTGATTTCCCTTGGGCCAAGCAGGATTTTTTTTCGGCCTCCTTCAAACTGGCTCAGAATGTGGTCTTCTTTCACCTTCTCCACATTATTCTGTTGAGTTGTGGTGCTGTCAGGCCTGATCTTTTGACCGTTTAAGCCGTGACTAGCTTAATTTAGAAATGTGCTCATAACAGGTATCCTGATTTGTGCAGGAAGCTGGCATCATATTTCTCATTACAAAACATCTCTTACCCTTCTGACTGGAAACCTTTCCTTCAGGGCATGGAATGCAGTCATAGCAGCAAAATGTCTCCCCCTCTCTCCTTTGTTTGCTAAATCCTGGATGGCAGTTGTCAGAACAAAAAGAAGTGGGCAATACCTGATCCACAATGAAAAGCAAGACAATGTTACTTTGAGAATCCAGACAGCAGTTTGTATTCAGAAGTGTGCTGGCACTTTCCTAAGTACAACAGCCAATATTCTTGGTGTTGAAATATGCAAGGTCTATAGTGTAGCCTTATGAAGAAGATCTCAAGATCATCCTATAGGGGTACATCTGAAGGACTTGTAATTAGCATAGCTAGACTAGGGACTTCCCACTTTTTCAAATTGTGTCCTTGCTGTCTCCTGATTGGCTCTTCTGGAGACTTCCAGCTCCTGAAGAGCTTCCTTTTTGTTGTTGTTGTACTTCCTTCAGCAGTTAGGTTAGAGCGTTAAGTCTCTTTCTTTCTTCTGTGTTCTATAATAGTTTGTTCTTCTATATATATAAAAGAAAGTCCCCTCACCATAAAATTAACGCCCAGGCCAAACTGCTGGACCTAGAGACACCAAATTCGGGAAGAGCACTCCTACCTTCGTGTAGGTGCTCACTAAGAAGGGATTTTTAGAAATTCAACCCCTAAGTGGGTCAAAGGGGGTAATATGTGCTCCCCCCATTGATTTCTATGCGGCTGCCAGGCAACTACCTCCCTGCACCCCCCACTCTCTGATTGGTCAGCTGCAGAGCTCAGTGTTCTGAGGTTAAAAAACAGTTATAGGGGACTGCAGAGAGCTAATGACAGTTGAGGAAATCAGGAGTGGCCAACAATCACCTGTGAGGTGAAGCAAAGCTGCTGGCCCAGCCTCTCTGATGGCTTCCAACACACTCCCCCCAACTCCTACACCTAACAAGTGGTTGTCTGTCAGGTGCAGCCTCACCTCCACAGTGGCTTTGAATACTCCTCCCCCTCCCCCTCCTACACTGGACGGGCAGCTGCCTGTCAGGTGTAAGAGAGGAGATGGGATAGCTTCCAACACACTCCCCCCACCTCCTACACCTAAGAGGTGGTTGTCTGTCAGGTGCAGCAGTGGTTGCAGAGTGCTTAAAGCCATGAGGGAGCCCGCCCTAGCAGTAATGCCTTAGTGATCCTGCCGGCCCTGCCTCCACAGTGGCTTCTAATATTCCTCCCCCTCCTACACTGGACAGGCAGCTGCCTGTCAGGTGTAGGAGAAGAGGTGGGATGCTTACAGCCACCAGTGAGGTTTGCTCAGCAGGATTGCCTTAGCACTGCTGCTGGCCCAGCCTCCTTGATGCCTTTACATACAATCCCCCCCAACACCAGACAGACCGGTGTCTGTCAGGTGTAAGAGCAGGGCCAGGGTATGAATGTTTATGGGGAGATAGTAAAGGACATTTCTAGGAGCCATTTCGATGCATACCTCCCTCATGAACCTGAAGAAATGTCCACCACATCACCACTCCCTCACACCAACTCCCCCTCACACCTCTCACCTCTTACTTCCCCCAAGAAAGCTCCTGGCAAACGTCAAGCCTTGTCAGGCAAGGCGGGATAGAAATTGAAATAAATAAATAAATAAATACGCCAATGCTACATGGAGGAGGCAACCTAGGAATGCGGCAAAGACATTTGCACATAGTACTCCTGCAATGCACTGAGCTGCACAGGCCAAGTACCAGCAAGATCACCCTGAGGTGCTCAGAACAACACAGCCTCCATATGAGCAAAACAGTCCAAGAACACAAGTAGAGAGGCCATCACTTTCGTGGAAGGCAGCAGGAGTTGACTTAACAGACGACTGCTTCTTAAATAGACAGTTCTATGTGGCCTGCTCCAGAGTGAGCTCACCAAGCAGCCTGGTGATCCTAGCACCTGAGGGCAGAACCACCAATGTGGTCTAGAGACGAGGTCCTTCAGTAGAGAGAGGAAAAGTGTGTATGTCTCATTTCTTACACTACAATCTTCTCCATTAGAATTCCTACAACAAATGTGCTATGCTACTGACTATGTATCAGGTAGCCCTGTCATGGTGTTGGAATGTGGAGGAGGCATCTCCCTCTCCACGCCAGCTCATCCTGTCTAGCTTTTCACTGCTTATCTCTGCCCTGACCTTGTTATCACAGCTGCAGAATTACCCAGCCTGGGAATCTTAACAGTTTGGGTGTGCAACCGCTTGCTTGTCTGCATACACGAAATGTAATCATTGGCTTTAGCTTATGGAGGGGGGACATTTGATTTTACTATAACTCAGTGGTCATCATATTGCAGGTCAATCCTGACACAAGCTGTATACTTGTTCTTAGTAATGGACTATCATTAAACACTTATCTTATTAAGAAGCCTTGGTGTGTGGTGTGAGGTGTGTGGTGTGATCGTGCTAAGGAACCTGACAAAGTGTCAGGATTGACCTGCAATATGATGCCATCATCCCTGAACATCATAGCCCATAGCACTATTACCTTAAGAGATATTTACCAGACATTTTGTGAACTTCAGAACAGTGGGCTGGATCCAGCGAACTTTGACACTAATGGCAAATGGAGGAAAGAGTCTTCTTTGGTCAACACAAATGTTGCTAAGTGGGGTTGCCAAGCAGTGCCTCACCAGCCACATAATGACATCACCGGCTATGCAATGATATCACTTCCACCCCCCGGCAACCAGAATTTTTGTCAGTGTTTCACTGGGTGGTGTTGTGAATGCTCTGCCATTTTGCCAAAATGCCAGAGCATCCTTGGCATCCCTAGGTGATATGCTGACATCATTTTCTGGTTCACACGGGATGACCTCAGAGTATCAGGATGTTGCTGTCATTCCCTACTGCTTCCCACCCCAGTGAATAGCAGCCCAGGTGCTGAGGATCATGGGATGAGACCTACATGAATAAAAGCCATATGTGACAGAGTCTTTAATAAAGAGGGGAGCTAGGCAAAATATAAGACAAAAAAGCTGGTCTGACCATTCGATTTAGCATGTTTATTTTGCTTTGCTCTCCCTGTTTTTATCTGATATGACTGCATGGTATGGTAACTTTCAGAAGTGTCCCTTCTATTTTCTTTGCCTAGACAAAAATGAACAGCTCAGCAACTCAACCTATTGCATCTTCCTCAAACCAAAATGTCAGTTTTCAAAGGGGCTCAGGTGCAAAGAAGTTATGTGTTCTTGTGTTCTGTTCAACACAGTACCAGCTGGCATTATAGACCTTTGGCAAAGACATATAGCGGCCCATTTTAAACAAGACCCTCTGCAAGTGAAAGGTCTCTGGGGTAAATGCTTTTGCTTATGTCATGGTTAAGTCAGGTTTTACTTGGGAAGAGCACCTGAGGAAAGGTAAGTTTGAGAAGGTTTCCTCAAAATTTAATTTCCAAGTTCCAAATTTCACTGTATTGATACCCCACCCTCAGGGGAATTAAGCTATGTGGGATGGATCCAGCTTTTTTACTCAGTCTTCACCAATTCCCATCCTTACTGTACCCCCCCCCGGCTTTTCCTGATGCAGATCCTGTGATTCCTGGCACAGTGTGGTCAAAAGGATTGTCAAAAGAGGACCCTTCCTCTTTTGTTTTTAATCAGAGGAAAAACTTATTGAATCCCATTTTTAAATGGCAACAGTACAGTCTAACATGCATTAATATGGCACATCTACTTTGTCCCTCAGTACTCATTCAAACTGAAAAGATTTTCCTACCTAACCACATTGGAAGCCCACCTGGTGAAAACTGTTGTGCCACGTGATGGCATCTTCATTAATGGAGAGGGCTAGGTGTGCAGCTGCCTTGGGATCTAGCCTCCCAACTTTCACCCTACGAAAGGATTGGTTTGGGAAAGTGACCCAGTTGATAATGTCATATACAGTTACTAATTCTCCATTGGGATCAAAGAAAATCATCTCCCCAGCATTGTTGTTAAACATGACACTTCGCAGAAAGGAGTGGAGCTAAATTAACAAAGAAAACACAAACATGTCATAAAATTCAAAGGGAGTAGCTGTTTATGTCTAAGTTCTGCAGGATAATTCTGGCTTCTAAGTGAAGAATCACTTAAAAGACAGATAGCAAATTGTTTGGAATGGTGCAGGTTCAGATCAGAAAACCAATCTCATTAGAGAAGCCTTGTATATCTATACCAAGGGACTTGGGTGTTTCATTTAAAAGACAGATAGCAAATTGTTTGGAATGCTGCAGAACCAATCTCATTAGAGAAGCCATGTATATCTATACCAAGGGACTCGGGTGTTTCATGCTGTTCTTTTCTTTTTCCTGGTTCTATTCTTTCTTTCCATTTTTATGGAAATCCAGATAAGGAGGCAGAAAAGAACTGCAGGGATAGAAATAAGGAATCAGTAGTGATTCCCTAGGAGTCTAGCGTTGGGAAAGGGCTACTTATCTATTAAACTGTCATGTCTTTTACATGTTTATCCACTGCTGGCCTTCAAGGACCCTAACATGGCACATGTGGTTCTCTCCTCCTCTATTTTATCCTCACAGTGACCCAGTAGATTAGACTGAGAGATAGATTGTCCCCTGGTAACTCCATAATTTAGTGGGGATCTGAATCCTAGTCTGCCCCATCCTAATCCAGTATTCCAACCACTATGGCACACTAACTGTAATGGCATACTCCATAATTGCACAAATCTCTTGATGTAGAATGAAGCTGTTTTTCCCCTGAGACTTGCTGTAGAATTTTTAGGGTGGTGTGATAATAATCTTGGAACACATGGCCCTTTTATCTCCCTTTTCCTACCTCTGTCCACTTCCCTCTTTGTCATAAACTTGCTGAGTTATGAGAATAAGAGATAGAAAAGCCAAGAGGGAACAGGAGCAAAAAAAAAAAAAGCTATTTCGCTCTCTCTCTTTCTGCAATATATTCTTCTAAATCAGAATCTGCTTTACCAGTACAAACTTTAGGACAGGAATAAATATAAATACTAGCAGCAGCAGCAACAAACCTCCCTTACACATTCAAGAGTCCACAATGCCAATGCAAGGAAAAATGTGAAGTAGAAAATGAGCATACTGTTATTTCACTATTATTAAATTCATGGAAGAGGTGAGCTTTTTTTCCTTTTTGGTGGCTTGGAGATTCTATCACAATATATGGAACCTATGCCCATCTACCTTTTAAAAAATTCAGCTGCAGTTGATCATTTTGAATTCTTACTCTAGGTCAGAGATTGAGGCTATAGATGGAATGTTCTCCCATAGAAAATACCAAGAAAAGATTACAAAGACTTCTCTTGGGGTGATTCAGAAAAGCGGAATAATGGGTCAGATGGTAGGTCACTTATCTTACAGGCCACACCCAGAAGTAAACAAGTCAGTTTCTAGTCAGTTTTGAGAGGAAGGGACTGTGTGAAAAGTTTATGGAGAGAGAGTTTGTTGTAGAGATGGGGCCCTATATTTGTACCTACAGAAATGCTTATCTCCTACACTCATTACCTTGAAATATTACCTGCCATGGCTGTTGTTCCAGAGGTTTATGTCTCTTTCCACTCATCATTCTGTGTTTGTAAGATGCATACATGTCATGCAAAGCATGTGCCACTGCAAAGACAGCATTGTAGATACTGTAGCTGTGGCCAGTCATGCTCATTTCAAAAACATCTCCAGGAAGGTTATCCAGCTTCTCCTCCCCTGTACAGTTTTCCTCAAACTTCTTCCCTAACAGTGAGTCAGAAAACTGGCACAAGAATACTTGTTCCCAGAAGTCCTGGAGGAAGCCATCATCCTTTGTCCAGATAGGACTTCTGCTCTGAAGAAACTGTTGGAATCCTAATAGTTCATTTGTATGAATTGTGAGGGAGAGAGCGCCATGGAAGACTTGTTGATCCCAACTCCTTTGAAAAAAATAGGACGTGAAATCCATCTGGGCAGTCATAATCCACACTTTACCTTTTGCATCTGTTATATAAGCCATATGTGATAGATGCATCCAACATCTAAGTTTTGCTATGGACTCTGTATCTCCAAAACAGACCAGTACATTGGTTTCACTGGTCATAATAATTTCATATATTATCCACCCTTTTACTAAGATATCAGCAATGTGTAGATTAAGATATGTTACTTGAGGGATCTTCTCTATGAAAGCAATGCAGATGCCACTCAGGGAAAACTCTGGAATCAGGGTCCTCACAAACCTTTCTCCATTATCATCATCCACAGCAATTATTCCAACCCACGTCCACTTAAAATGCAGAAGCAACTGAATAATCCCCATGTACTGATGGGCTTCATTGGGGACCATCTGGTAGAAGGAAAGGCCTGGCATTGTATGATGCATCACTGGAGTGGGACCATAAGAGAGCTAAAAGTAGTTAACATTTGGGAGGAGAAGGAGGTGATGAAACAGAATAATAAGGTTTATGGAAAAACGATGACAATGTTTTCATTTGCTTGTAATATGAAGAGCAATTCTGCAACTAGATTAGAGGGACTGTATCTTAATGGCAAGAATCTGGGATGGATCCAGCCAGCTTTCTTCACTCTGTGTCACCCAATTATCCCCCTTATTGCATTCCACATGGCATTGTCTATATGTGTTCTATGAATCTAAGACCTTTGAGATAGTCAAAGAGGACATCTCCTCTTTTTTCACCAATGGAAAAGTTGATTGGACTGGACACAACTCACTTTCGTTTTCTTCATAGAAAATGTTGGTACGCTTTTCACAACTACGATACTGTGAATGAAAGACTGTTTAAAGTTTCACTATGGTAACTTGACATCAGTTTTCTGTATTACACATCTCTAAGTGTCGTTCTCTGGTAAAGTTCTTTAACATTCACATTATTTATCAGTTCACACACATTCACACGAACACACATATTAGGGCCAAATGTCACAGAGGTGGCAACTTGTATCTTGCCTATACTACATGAGATCAGCAACAGCAACTTATATCTATCTATATTTCTATCATATTTTTTCTACCCCTCCTTCAAGGAGCACAAAATGGCATACCTAGCTTTCTCTTCCTCTTTTTCATTTTCCCAATAAACCTTTGTGTTAGGTTTGTCTGAGAGAGAGTGACTGGCCCAAATTATCTTCATACTGAGTTGGGTTTAAGCCCAGTCCTAGTGTGGTGCTACTTATCACCACATCCTGGTTCTCAGAACTGAATACTTTTACAAGCCAGAACAAAAATCCTTCATATCAAAATTGCAGAAAGCATTCTAGATAAACCCTGACATATACAGTTAGTTTGCCATGTGTTGGGATTTTGTTGTTGTTTTTGTTCAGAAGATCATTCAGTGATGTGAGCCCCTGACTCGAATCTAATGAACTAAAGTCCGGGACAAGTTTGCCATCTCCATAAGAACTGAACTGTAGTGGCTTTCTGTGTTATTCAGCCGATATAAATATAGGTGTGTGCATGTATGTTGGCTTTGCTAAACTAACCACAGCTTGCTCACAGTAACGTAACATCAGCTTTTTCTTGATCTCATCTTTGCTATGGCCTTAAGCCTGCTTTTAGACAGATGGATGAATACAAGCTTCCTTTAAAAATGATCTTCACAAAGAGGAAAATGAAGGATACTTCATGCAGTGAACTAGAACCAGATATATATTTAAAATATGGCATGTACCAATTTCTCCACAAAAAGTGTTCTATTGACTGTATCTTTTCCCAATATGTTCATGCTGGGTACACATATATCTAGTAGCCACAATCAATTGCAGTGTCCTACTTCAAGTCGATCCTTTAAAAATGTATACCTTATGCTTTTGTACAATATACAATACAAATCATTATACATTATATGATGGAAACAGAGATATGCTAAAAGTTTAATATGTACCTATAATAGCTTAATGAAGCTAAAGTCCAGTGGCATCTTAAAGACTATTGAGATTTATTCAGCATGAAAGCTTTTGTGGGTCAGAATTCAATTTATCAGATGCCTCTGATGAACTGGGCTCTGACTCACATACATTTATGCCGGAATAAATATAAAGATCCCCTCAACTTCTGTTTTATTTTCTCGTACTAGCATATGGCACATCTCTTAAACAAAATAACAAAACAGTATTTTCTATTTGTTGGACTGTTCAGGATGGACTGGTTTACTTCTGTGCGCACATAGTTTGAGAAAATTATTATATAATGCTATATTTCTATCTAGTATCATCATAATCATAGTATTCATATGAGGATATGTGCATGCACACGCACAAAGGAGGGCAAGGGTACCCTAAAACAGGAAGTGCCAGCCCTGTGAAATAGTTTACACACACATATTTTATTCTTGATCATTATAAAATCCAACAATATAATCCATGAACGCTCCCTCTAAATGGTGGGATCTTGTGAACAAAAATTCTATTTCATGAGCCACTGGCATTAAAGTTGTGAGTGAGCGATTTGGCTACTGCATAAATTAGTTTGCTCAGGAGCCATCCTTCCTGAGCGAAGACAAGAATGTGTGAGCCAGAGGATAAAAAAAATGTGAGCTAGCTCACACTAACTCAGCTTAGAGGGAACACTGCCATAATACCAAAGGCTGGATCCTAACGTGCCATTCTATCAGCACAACAACAATTCCTCTGATGGAATGGCCTTTCCATTTGGACAAGAGGGAAAGGGTTTTTTTTTTGCTGATTCTTCCCTTGTGCTACAAAGTGCCCCTTACACTGACCTACACAGTCCACTGAGCTGCAGCAGCACAAGTTTGGGGAGAACCAAAAGGGAGAGAAAGAAGCCTTCCTTAAGTATGACTGCTCTTGTGCTGCTTGAGATCCAAATCCATGTCTGGAAAATAGCACCTAATGTCACCTCAAAAGAGATACTTCTCAATGGTCCCTAAAAACATGCATTTAAGTTGTGAATCCTCAAGGATAAAGGAATGAAGTGAATCTCTGCATGTCTAAGCCCACGCTTTGTCTCACCTTCACAAGAACAAAAGGTGTCCTTACAGCTCTGATGATACACTTATACATACAAGTCACTACTTGAAATTGCGGTCATCTGTATGTAAACTCTTTGGTACTGTAGTTAAATTCCATTTAGAAATTAAACTGAATGACTAGTTCTGCAAATTGACATGAGAACATGGACTGAAACACAATGGGAATTCTCTTACTTTGGCATCTATGGGTGCTTGTGCGAATACATTTATAGAGAAGAAACGTATCCCTGAGTTACTAACAATTGCTATGGTTTGATTCTCATATCCTGGATATGACTTTCAAGTATCTCTTATACTACATCCCAGTCTTCAGAGCACAAAATTACTTCATAAACTCCCATCCCGCTTCACAAATACACACTACCTGTGGAATATTGTAGATGCTTAGCATGGTTGCTATGTGGAGGGAGATTTCAGGTTCAAGTCCCCCAATGACTGCTATCAGATTGTTGTGGCTGTTATGCCTGTAGTTGGGGATAAATCTGTTCTTTGTGGACAGAAGTTCCATTGTTGCATGGTATGTCTGTCTTGCATTGTAATAGCTGTCATAGATGTTGAAGCCCAGAGTGATGTTGGGTAAGATCTCGTGATTTCCATTGATCTCTGTCACAGCAAACACCAAGGCCATGATATGCTGATAATTCTTAGTCAGTACACTACAATGAGAGTTATAGAAATATAGAATATAGAAATATTCAACCCTAAGTAAAATTTTTGACATGATACTGTGCTCCAGAAGGTGTCCCTCCTTCAAAACACAACAATCACTATACCATCTCACTAAGTTTGGGTTCAGTTAGATATTTAATATTGTAAAGCTGTTTTAAAATCCTACTACATAGAAACTTGCAGAAAATGTGGTGCATGTCCAATAGCTTCAAAAAAAAAAAAACTCAAAAGAAAGTGAAGCACCTTCTAAATTGGAAATAAGGTCTCCGTCTGTTCCTTCGAGAAATATAATATTGAAATATATTGGAGATTGGTTCCGGCTGGAATTCTAGACAATCCATAGAACTGGTAGAAGGAGAAGGAGAAGAGGAAGAGGAGGAGGAGGAGGAGGAGGAGGAGGAAGAAGAAGAAGAAGAAGAAGAAGAAGAAGAAGAAGAAGAAGAAGAAGAAGAAGAAGAAGAACCTTACAAGGGAATGCTATATGATGTGAAATTGGGCTGATCCTTGAAGGACATCATTTCTGAAGGGACATAAATACGAAAACCAATTGACCCAATCATGGCATCTCCTTCTTGGTAATACTTGTGAAATATAGGGACTGGATCACTGATTGTGCACATAGCATTATGTGTCTTGCAAAGGGTGAGCGGGAGCAGCATTGGCAACATTGCCTCTAATAGCAACATACTGGATGGTCCTTCTCCGACCCTCTGTTTATGTAGGACTACAGTCATTAGATTTAAAAAAAATATCTAAATAGCACTTCTATCTCTTGCCCCTATGCCAGTATCTGAACTGAATATGGTAAATTCATAGCAAATTTTATACTCTACATTATCAGTTTTGGAAATAGCCTATTGATTCCCTTGTGGATTTCAATGAGCAGTAGGATTAATCATAGGTATTCCGATAATTACAAAGCAAACTGTCTGCTCCTCCAGGTAGTTTTCTGTGACACATCTGAAGAAAACATATTTGTTATAATTTCATCACAAATCTTTTATCTGGGTCAGTGAGGGAGTGCTCCAGATAATAGTCTGTATCATCTCCAGTAGGGGTCAGTCACCAGAGGCTGCCATGACTTCCAGGTGCACACACAGTCCACACAAGTACTCTCCTTTAAATATTAACTTTGCAACAATGATGTACCATGTTTTGAAGACTGATAGCTCAATACCCTCATGTAGTTTAACCACCTTCCTCTTAAGTAAACAATCCTGGATTAAGGATTGTTTCATGAAATATAGTGTCACTATATTATAATGAGTACAAACAATGAAAAGATGCAGAGCATAATGTTAGTAACATTACAAAATATGCAATAAGTTTGTGACCAAAATAAATAAAATAAAAATCTCTTTGCAGTGTATTGACTTAGAATGACCAGCACATCCTGGCCTTTGCATTTGCTGTAAAAGGGATCAATGAAAATCCCCAGATCTTGTCCAATGTCACTCTGGGATTCCATATTTATTACAGCTGCGTGGAGTCAAAGTGGACCTTTCTTGCTGCAATGCAACTTATTTTCCCAAGAAACAGATTTCCCCACAACTACAAGAGTCCCATTCAGGATAACCTGATTCCATTTATTGAACCTTTATTCAGAAGCCTCCCAAACGACACCAGAAATTTTGGGCACCTACAAGTTTCCATGGGTAGGCTAGCTATGGCATATGGAATTTTTTAAAATATTCACATGTACTTTTCCTGTCCACTTTCTGGTGTGCTGACACACAATCAGGCAGAATTTATGTTCATACAGTATTTGAGTGAAGAACAACTCCAGAGAAAATATTTCCTGACTGTAGTTTTAGCTTTTATTAGATTTTTATCCTGTGTTCCCCCCCCCCTAAAAAAATGGGGTTTAGGACAGCACCAGACTGAGAATATCTCATGAAGTGCGAAATCAAAATTGAAACTTTGCTTTTGGTGTAGTGGTTAAGTGAGCGGACTCTAATCTGGGAGAACCGGGTTTGATTCCCCACTCCTCCACTTGCAGTGGCTGGATGACCTTGGGCAAGCCATAGTTCTGGCACAGCTGTTCTTGAAAAAGAGAAGAAGAGAAGAAGAAGAGATTGGATTTATACCCCACCCTTCACTTGGAGTCTCAGAGCGGCTTACAAACTCCTCTCCCTTCCCCTCCCCACAACAGACACCCTGTGAGGTGGGTGGGGCTGAGAGAACTCTGGCACAAACTGCTCTTTTTCAAGGGCAGCTGTGCCAAAGCTTGCGACTGACCCAAGGTCACATCAGCAGGTGCAAGTGGAGGAGTGGGGAATCAAACCCGGTTCTCCCAGATTAGAGTCCGCGCACTTAACCACTACACCAAACTACACAGTTTCTGTCAGAGGTCTCTCAGCCCCACCTACCTCACAGGGTGTCTGTTGAGGGGAGGGGAAGGGAAAGGAATTTGTAAGCCGCTCTGAGACTCCTTTGGGTAGTGAAGGGCGGGGTCAGGGTATAAATCCAATCTCTTCCTCCTCCTCATTCTCCTTCTTCTTTTCCTTCTCCTCCTTCTTCTTCTTTGAATTTACACAGAGCCAGCACTAGAGTCAACATACACTCTGCCAAAGTAACTTAGAGCAACTTTTATAAATGATGGATCCCATCCTTTTAGTAACCTCTTTGTGGTATGAACCAGGTGACTCAGCTGAATGGCATGGCTCTGCTTGCTTGCTGCTGCTACTTTTGTTGTTGTTGGATCCTCCTTATTCTTCTGAACTGAAAAGCTTCAAACGACTTAAAACCTGTAGAGGGGGGGGGGGGGGGGTCATGATCATTTTTCTTGCTGTTTCTGCACCTTTCCCAGCTTGTCCATTATCATTTTCAGGGATAATTAGGAGGGTTTTTTTTAAAAAAAACCTCATCTAATATTGCACTTAATATTTAATTACATTAAACCTAATTTACTATTTTAGGTATTCTTTTGGAGAACCCATTGCCTTTTCAAGGCACTGGAAGCTTATAAGAGCTTTTAATGGGAGACTGAAGAGGAGACTTTCCAAATTCAGGCTCTGGTCGCACTGGAGGCTTGGCACGGTCTGGTGGTGCCTCTATTTGTGGCATGGGAAGGGGTGACCAGACAACACACCCTGAAGCAGCCTCACTGTGCACTCACCCCATGGTCGACTCTTCAGATTATTGCTGTGGAACAGGAGTCGGTGCTTAGGTGGCTTCTTTTTTTAAATGCGCCTTTCACATATGTGCATAGCCACTTATTTGAAGCACCACTCCATTTTGGCAGCTGGCTACTTCCCCCTCTGAATAAACTCATCTTTTCAATTAATCCCTTCCCCACCCTGTATGTTGCAAAGCTGTAGGCAGAGGAACTAGCATGAAAAAAACAAAGAAGGTTTTTCAGCTTGCTCTTCCTTCCCTTCTTGCCTCAGAGGACAGCTGTAAGCTTGTTGTGCATGAAGATGTGGTTATCCACACATCACTAATTGACTAAAACAACAACAACAAGGACTGAAAAGAAAACAGAGCAATCAGACTTTCCGATCGGGTTGAGCTTGTATCAAGGGAGTTCAGGCATCCAGAAATATGGGGTGAAAGCATTGACATCCATAAACACCGGACTTCCCCTGGTGCCTAATTACTCTGCTTCCAAAATGGGGAAGAATAGGGTGGCAACAACTGGGGCATGGAAGGCAAATGTTGCTGTCTGCTCATGCTCTTTAAGTCTGCAAAGGTACTGCAATGATATTGGCACAAACTGCTCATGTGACCTCAGCCTCAGATTGCCCCCATTCCCATGATTCATCATGGAGTTCCATTTGTCTTTCATATCCTTTCCCAACATAGAAAAGGTTAATGCCAGTAATTTCCAAACTCCCACCCCAATTTGTCTCAAAATTGCTTTTGTTTTACTTCTTTCCAGCTCTCTGGAATGAAGGCTAATTTTAACTAATAAAAGCCTTTTGTCTTGTTTTTTTAAAAAAACTGCATAATATTATTACAGTGTAGTTCTTACAGTATCAAACTAGGATCTGGGATGCCCAGGCTCCAATCCTCAATCTGACATGGAAGTTTGCTTGGTGAACTTGGGGCAGTCATGTCTCAGTCTAAGCGTGATTCTGCATTGGTTTTTCCCTCCATTGTTTTATGAAACCCACATTGGAACAGAAATTCCCCTCTGCATTGCATGCTGCTTTCACTTTCTTTGATCATCAGATTTTATGGTACCCTCTACACTGCATGCCATGTTCACTTTCTTTGTTCATCGGATTTTATGGTACCCTTTCTTTGATCATCGGGTTTTATGGCACCCTATGCATAGATTTATGGCCGTTCGGGGGTAACTTTGCAGTCAGTACAGTGTTGCCCTGAGGTATTTGAATGTGATTTTGAGCTGCACCTTTTCCTCCCAGCTGAGAAAATGTGAAACAAATGCTAGATGTAGTTACCTCATAGGGTACCTCATAAGTTACCTCATAGGGTTACATAGATGAAATAGAGAAGGAAGAATGCTTTTGTAAACCACTTGACTCCCCATTGGGAAGAAAACTAGTGTATAAGTATCCAAGTAAATAATACTCTGACCCTAGAACAAGGTTTTAATTGTCCGTGCCTAAAAAGAACACGATAAAGATGTTGTGTATACATGTCAATAAAAGCTGTCACTTGCACCCTTCAAAAATTCTTATAAATGACATATCTGTTTTTGGTGGGATGGGGCTGTATGACTAGCCACTTGGGGGTTGGTTGGGGGGGCTGTAGGTGACATTAAAAGTTTACAAATAATAATTGTGATTCACGGTGTGTAGAAGCTGAGAGAGAAACAGCTGCATTTGTTGTGATGTACATGAAGATGATTGTCAGATCCTCCTTTGGTTGCTCTGGAAATTTCATTTTAAGTACAGTTGGTGAGCAGTCAGCCTCATCCTAAATTCCTGACAGTGGTAGGATATCCATGCTGGGCATGCCCCTGAATGAAACACTAGTTGCTGATCAGTATCCTATGGTGAAACCACGGGGGAGGGGGGGAGAAATAGCAAATAGTTTAGTTATGAATTGAGCTAACATCCTTTGAAAAGCTAATATGTACAAGAAGTAGCATATCAGGTTTAATATCAGAAATGTATGCAATTTTAACTAAAGGGCTTTCAGGATCTAACTTTGATTATAATAATAAACGACAAAATCATATGTATAGACAGCAGTGTCTGATAAAAACTGGCAGCTATGTTTTTCTTAATTCTGTGCCTCAGCCATTAGTGTCAGTCTAAAACAAAGTTACTTATAAGATCATATACAACTAGTTCTTGAACTTCACATATACCACACTGATGAAAATGTGTGCTGGAAGTGTGAGTCTAAAAGAGATGGATTCAGGCATTCATGATGGAGTCTTCATGAAGAGGGGTTTTTGGGGGGTGGGGGAAGAAAGGTACTAGGATAGATGCAAATGATGCATTTGTGCTGTGTGACTAACTTTCTCCACCTTTCCAAATACTGGCATGCATCTAATGATTCAAGAAAGTATACTGGGATGTAATGAGGTGTCCCCCACCAAGTTTTACTGTGGTTTGGCCTACATAGGTTTCCTGGCCATTGCCAGCTTTACTGTGGCTTTCCTTGCCAGGAAGTTACCTGACAGTTTCAATGAAGCCAAGTTTCA